AAAAAAAAAAAAAGAAAAAGAAAAAGAAAAAGAAAAAGAAAAAGAAAGAGAAAAAGTCTCAGTTTAAAACACTGGATTGCTCTGAACTGTTGTGGTGATATCATTGTAAATACTCAAATCTTAATTTTACACACATGGGTCCAAATGACTCATCACTACAGAAAGCTAAATGGATGCAATATGGGACTGCATCCTATTGGAGGCCAATCATTTTACACATTTCAGAGCCATTTGATATGCATTCAAACCTCACCTGCATGTTGTCCATTCATTCACTTCTGTTAGGGCTGCTTCCAATAATCCGAATGTCTGTACAAATGCAAGCATTCCTTTTTGCCAAACAAAAATTAGTTTCTGCTGCCAAAGAAATGCTACCTTTGTCCACCTTCAGCTGTGGAATTTATCCCTTTCTCCTCTGCTACACAAACTTGAAATCAACAACTAAATTTTACTTGGAGCAATTGAACCAAGGTTTAGAAAGATGTGTGATTCATTGCTAAATAAAGGTTGTTTAAAAGACAGAAATGATTTCGCTTATGATTATGCTTCATTTTACAATTTTCCAACACACAAATTACAATTATGGCCAAATTTATCAATTTATGCTTTGGATCTGCAGGTTTAATGGTCAGCTGTTTGCATGGAACAGTGCTACATTTCAGAAGAGTAAGAGCCCAGTCGATACATGTAACTTTAGTGTAAAAATAATTACAATTCATTTTATGCTATGTAGTATGAAATACTGTTCTTGTTACATGTCCCATTATTGTTTGGTTTGGTTTTGCTCAAAACAAAAATGCTCCTGGCATTGAAACAAGTTTATTTTTCTTCTTATTTTTCTTCCTATTAGACAAGAATCACAGCCCTTCATCCTCATGACTAATGGCGGATACACTGAAAAGGAAAAATAACAGATAAATACAAAAACTGAAAAGGCTAACAAAATTGTGTAAGCAAACATGAATCATGCTTCATTGCATATTAAAATGAGCTCATTTAAATCACAAATGGTATGTTCTTAGCATACTCCAACAGTGCATAAACTGGTGATGAAGTATCTGTGTTCTGACCCACCAAAACAAATCACACTCCTTCTTCATTACGTGACCAGAAGTACTCTCTGATGCAACCAAAACACAACATCTGTCACCCACAGTACAGGCAATGGGATCATCTCATCACACATGCGATGGGATCATCTTGTCACACATGCAAAGTCTCATTCTGTGACAGGGATAATTGCCATTTTGGTCATATGAAACACATGTGCTGGCATATACAAAGAAAAACATCCAGGTGTGCAGTCCTCTTGTCCACCAGAATAAGTTTGCTTGCCTCAGAAAATGATCTCCCTATATCAGTCTTTCTCAATTCAGGAACACTTGAGAGCTTGTTAATTCCTACCCTTAAATCCTGGTGACCTCAGAGGGTTTTTGTGCAACTCAGAAGATCACATAGAGCCCTAGAATAGAGATGGCATAGCCAGAAGGAACATGCACAGTAACACAAACATTATAAACCTCTGCAACTGCAGCTCATGATAATGGGGATACTCGAATCAGTGGAAAAATAGAACAGTGAACTGTTTGAAGACATTGCTTAGAATTGCTCAGGCAGTATATGAATACAGTCAGATATTAGAAAGGCACAAGGTACCACAAAACATTTTTGCAAATAGTACAATTAAAGCACCATTATACTTACTCAAAGAAAAGTAGCAGTATTATTTAAGCCTTTGGAACAATTTATTTTTATGATTTGAAATCTTTGGGTGCATTCTTTTCTACTGTACGCTAATTTCTTTGTGATTATCCATCCAGTGCTATCATGTGCAATTGACAGTAAAAAGATATCACAGGTCAGCAGCAGTATTTTTCATTAGATTAAACAAATAAAGAAATAAATAAAACACCCAACAAACCACCAAACTTTATTTATTTATTTATTTATTTATTTGTAGAGACTCAGTTATGCTATTGCTTAAATGAACAGAGTATACAACATCCAAAGCAGAGTATTTTTTTTTCCCCATAATTTCTGGAAGACTGATTTTGTTTGCTTACCATCTCTATCTTTTTAAAATGTTGCAATAATTAAAAACCTGATGTAAATCAAAAAGCTGTTCCATGCCTGAAACGCTATGTTTTTCTTATGAACCTCAGCAGAAGGATTTACTTTTCATCATTTTGACAGCTGAGACAGTGAAACAGGTGATCCTAGCTAACAAAGGAGGTGTTCTCATGACATCCTGCAGGGCAGGAGAGGAAGGATTTAAGAATTACATAGCAGAAATTAGCACTAAGCATTTCAGATGCTTCAAAACAGCTATGTTTTCTGGCAAATTAAGGGAAGATGTTTTCTTTCAAATGGATTAATTCAAAGAAGTAATTTGTACACTTGGAACTTTAGACTCTGGTCACTATATGTGGGTATCAAAAATTCCAGTACAGCTGTAGTGGAAATATTAAGAAGCATCAGTGGAGTTGCAGGAGAACCTGGAGGCTATCACTGCACTGTATTTAAACAATCTACCTTAACTGTACTAACCCAAGCCAGTGTTTTTTTTAAAAGAAGTTTTTTACAATAAGAGTGGTGAGGCAGTGGCACAGACTGCCCAAAGAGGTGGTGGATCCCCCATCACTGCAGACACCCAAGGTCAGGCTGGAAGGAGCTCTGAGCACCTGATGGAGCTGTAGGTGTCCCTTTTCACCGCAGGGCAGTTGGACCAGATGGTCTTAGCAGTCCATTCCAACTCAAATGATTCTGTGATTCTGTGATTCTATGAAATAAGACACATCCTATAACTACAAAGTCCAGAATGACAGTGTTGATTAAAATATGTAATCCAATATATACTACTTTTGTAGGAATATAGGGAATATATTCCCTATACATATATATATATATATATATATATATATATATAATTACATGAAGGAAAATTCATTTTAGTGTATCTGAGGAACTATATCCCACACTTTTGTTTCTGTTTCACTTTGGTTATTACATGCTGAGTTGCCAACACCCACAGAAAGCGCATCAAGAATTAGGGACTGATTGTTCTGTGATGGTCCAGTTATTTACTCAAGGAAAACCATACACTACTTTGTCTATAAACTTCAAAGTCTTTCAACACATCTCTGCACATCTCTACAAGGAGAATGTCCCAGTTTCAGTAAAAAAAGAGTTAGTAGCACACTGAGGTTTAGTTCACAGAATCATAGAATCACCAAGGTTGGAAAAGACCTACAAGATCATCCAGTCCAACCATCCAACTGTCACCAATAGTTCTCATTAATAGTTCTCATTAACCATGTCCCTCAACACAAAATCCAAATGTTCCTTGAACACCTACAGGGGTGTTGGACTTGATGATCTCTGGAGGTCCCTTCCAACCCCTACAATTCTGTGATTCTGGGTGATTCTGTGAACCTCCCCATTTAATACCAGACCAGGCTGCCCAGGGCCCCATCCAACCTGGCCTTGAACACCTCCAGGGACGGGGCATCCACAGCCTCTCTGGAGGAAAGTGGCTTATTATTCCACATTTATGCACACTTAGTAGATAAGATGAAATACTTAATAAGTACCAAAATTGTAACTTTTGTATTATAGACTATTCTGTTTTGCCAAGAGGCCCTCAGCAAAAGAACAACTTAAGGGGCCTCTGACATGAAGTCAAACTGTCCCTCTTTTGGATTAGGAGGAATGCAAGTGATGCTCCCCTACTTTTTCCTTCAAACTTACCTCTATCCCAGGACAGCAGGTATCCAGGAATAATGGCCCAGTGCTGAATGAGCAAATGTGAGAAGTTAATTAGCAATATATGCTTAGCTAGGGTCAGTGACTCCACCCCCTCTCTGGGCAGCCCATTCCGGTGCCTGACCACTCTTTCAGAGAAGTAGTATTTCCTAACATCCAGCCTAAATCTCCCCTGGCACAGCTTGAAGCCATTCCCTCTAGTTCTGTCATCAGTTACATGACAGAAGAGGTTGACTCCCAGCTCACTACAACCTCCCTTCAGGCAGTTATAGAGAGCAATGAGGTCTCCCCTGAGCCTCCTCTTCTCCAGACTGAACAATCCCAGCTCCTTCAGCCGCTCCTCTTAAGGCCTGTGCTCCAGACCCCTCACCAGCTTTGCTGCCAGATCATCAATAAAAATACTGAAGGCCCAGCACCGACCCCCAGGGAACACCACTCGTGACAGGTCGCCAGCTGGATTTAGCTCCATTCACCACCTCTCTCTGGGCCCGCTCCTCCAGCCAGTTCCTTACCTAACCAAGAGCACACCTGACCAAGCCACGTGCTGCCAGCTCCTGCAGGAGAACTGCTGCTGAGTCGTAAGACCGCTCCCGGTGCCAGGCCGGGCCGCGGAGCGGAGCGGAGCCGCCGCCGTGACGGGCAACAGCAGCGGGGGCGGGGCCGGGGCCGGGTCGGGGCCGGGCCCGAGCGGGGGCTTTTCCGTACCGCGTGACGTCAGGTGAACGCCATAGTGCTACGGGCAGGGCTGTCGTTGTTCGGTAGCTGTGTGAGCTGTGGTGTGGCGGCGGCGGCGGCATCGGCGGCATCGGCGGCATCGGCATGTGTTTGGTGCTGTGTTTTCGTTGGTGAACGGTGAGTAATTGCTTTTTAACTATGCGTGCAGTTACTGTAACGTTTTGGCGTCTGTTTTCCTCTTCTGTCTTGGTAGTTGGCTGTTTTTCCCCTAATCCCACCCTGGGGGGACTGAGTAAATGACTGTGATGCTGGGCAGCTGCAGGGCTGCTCTGCAGCGTGAAGCCCAGTGGGACCCAACCCAGAATCATGGAGTCCTTAGAGTTGGAAGGGACCTTTAGGGGCTATCTAGTCCAGCTCCCCTGCAATGAACGGGGACATCTGCAGCTCAGTCACATTGCTTAGAGCATGGTCCAGCCTGGCCTTGAATGTGAATGTGTTCTCCTGCTAAAGAGACTGTCCCTTTCTTTCCTGTGGCTCTCATTTAGTACTGAAAGGCTGCTATCGGGACACCTTCTCTTCTTTGGGTGGAACTGCCTCAGATCTCTCAGCCTATCCTTGTAGGGAAGATGTTCCATCTGTTGGATCATTTTGGTGGTTATCATCTGGGCATGCTCCAGCAGGTCTGTGTCTCAGGAGTACATCTGGATGCAGTACGCCAGGTGAAGTCTCACCAGTGCAGAGCAGAGAGGCGGGATCACCTCCCTCATCTTGCTGGCCACACTTCTTTGGAAGCAGCCTAGGATATAGTTGGCTTTCTGGGCTGAGAGGGCATGTTGCTGGCTCATGTCTAGCTTGCCATCCACCAGTAGTCCTAGGTCCTGTTTGTCAGGGCTGTGCTCCATCCTTGCTCCCCCAAGCTTGTACTTGTAATGGAGGTTACCATGACTCGGATGCAAGACCTTGCACTGGGGTTCTCCTGGGCCCACTGTTTGAGCCTGCCCAGGTCTCTCTGAATGGTGTCCTGTCCTTTGGGTATGTATATCTCACTACACAGCTTGGTGTAATCAGCAAACTTGCTGAGGTTGCGCTCAATTCCTTTGTTGATGTTACTGATGATGATGTTAAAGTGCACTGACCCCTGATGAACACAACTTTTCACTAAAATCCGTTTCAAAAAGGAGTCATTAACCACCATCCTCTGTGTGTGATCTCATAACCAATTCCTCACCTATCAAATAACATCAAATGTTACCAAATTAGAGAGAAGGATGTTATGGGGGACTATGTCAAAGGCCTTATTGAAGTCCAAATGTGTGACACTGGTGGTGCTTTCCTTGCCCAGTGATGCAGTTACATCATAAAGTGACAAGCAGGGCCTACCCTTTGTGAAGTCATGCTGGTTATCCCATACCATCTTCCTCACTCTATGTGCTTTAGCACAGCTTCTAGGAGGATTTGCTCCATGATATTCCCCAGCATTGAGGTGCAGACAGGTAAGTAGTTCCCTGAGTCATTGTGTGATAACTGTTGAGTCTGTGTCTCAGTGCCTGAACCACTGTTTAAAAACCTAGGGAAAGGTCCCAGTCAGCTCTGGGAGCACAGGGGAAGGCAATTCAACTGTGAAACCAGAAGGGGTGGAGCCTGGCTCCACCTCTCATAGATCCCATTTCAGGGCTGACTGCCACTGTAGAAGAATCTCTCCCTGGAGATACACTATTTGTGGATTTTTTTTCCCTGTGAGCCTAGATCTTTAGTGATGCTTAGGCAGTCATTTTAAATGTTCCTTAATGACACCTTACTATTGTGCTAGTCCCTTTTTCATTACTCCTCTCAGATTACCGTTAAATTGTGTTGATCTTCCTGGTGGTTACAATCATAATTTACATGCTTGTTAAAAAATGGGCGTGGTGGTTCTGGTCCATGGAGTAGTCAAATCCCTGAACCTCAAATACATGCCCAAAAATGCAATCCCTCAATAACTTGTACTATACACTTTTATTTCACATCTAAACTGTATAATGCAATCAATAATCAAACACCAATCTTACAGGAACAGCGTACCACTGGACGACACATGTAGCGTGCCACTGGAGGACAGATGTAGCGTGCCGGCAGACGTCTGAGGTAGTGCGCCAGTGATGGCTGAATGGGGAGCAATGGGGGAGGCCAGAGGGAGCGCGCCGGTCGAGGATGAGGAGCATCTGCAGGGGTCCAAGGGAGCACGTGGGGGGAGGACAGAGGTAGCACCTGTGGAGGCCTGAGGGAGCGCGCAGGGGGATGATGGGGAGCACCTGCAGAGCACCGAGGGATCATGCTGGGGGAGGATGGGGAATGGCTGCAGAAGTCTGAGGGAGCGCACCAGGGGAGGCTGGAAGGAGCGTGCCTGGTGAGGATGGGGAGAGCAGAGCACAAGCAGAGGTCTGAGGGAGAGCGCCGGGGGAGGAAAAGAATGAATCTGTGGAGGCCAGAGGGAGCTTGCTGGTGGAGGCCAGATGGAGAACGATGGGAGAGGATGGAGAGCGCCTGCAGCAATCTGAGGGAGCGTGCTGGGGAAGGCTGGAGCGAGTGCCGGTGGAGATCCAAGTTAACATGCTGGGGGAGAATGGAGAGAGTTTGCCTGGGGGAGGATGGGGAGCATCTGCGGAGGTCCAAGGGAGTGCGCTTATGGTTAGCATCAGGGGAGGACAGAGGAAGCAACTGTGGAGGCTGGAGGCAGTGTGCCAAGGAGGCTGGATGGAGGGTGACGGGGGAGGATGGGAAGCATCTGCAGAGGTCTGAGGGAGTGCGCCATGGGAAGAAAGACAGAACCGGGGGAAGGCAGGGAGTGAATGTGTGGAAGATAAATAGAGGGCACCCAGGGAGGACAGGGAACACCTGCGACGTCCAAGAGAACACTACAGCTGGAGGTGGCTGGAGGGTATACTAAGTTAGCGCAGCGGCGAAGGCTAGCGGGCAGGGCAAGTTAGCGTGCCGAAAGAGGTTAGCGGGCAGGGCAAGTTAGCGCGCTGGCGGAGGATAGAAGGCAGGGCAAGTTAGCGCGTCAAAAGAGGTTAGAAGGCAGGCCAAGTTAGCGCGCCAGTGGAGGTTAGCAGACAGGCCAAGTTAGCACGCCGGAGGAGGCTAGCAGGCAGGCTAAGTTAACGCGCCGGAGGAGGCTAGCGGGCAGGGTAAGTTAGCGTGCCAGAGGAGGCTAGCGGGCAGGCTAAGATAGCGTGCCGGCGGAGGATAGCGGGCAGGGCAAGTAAGCATGCCGGTGAAGGCCAGCATACAGATAAGCTAGCGCGGCGGAGGAGGCTAGCAGGCAGGCTAAGTTAGCGAGCCAGAAGAGGCTAGAGGGCAGGCCAAGTCAGCGCGCCGGTGGAGGTCAGCGGACAGGTGAAGTTAGCGAGCCAGCGGAGCTTAGCGGGCAGGTCAACTTAGCGCGCAGGTGGAGGTTAGCGGGCAGGCGAAGTTAGCGCGCAGGTGGAGGATAGCGTGCAGGGTAAGTTAGCGCGCCGGAGGAGGAAAGTGGGCAGTTCACGTTAGCACGCCGGTAGAGGATAGCGGGCAGGTGAAGTTAGCGCGCCGGTGGAGGCTAGCGGGCAGGCTAAGATAGCGCGCCAGTGGAGGCTAGCGGGAAGGCTAAGTTAGCGCGCCGGTGGAGGATAGCGGGCAGGTGAAGTTAGCGCGCCGGAGGTGGTTAGCGGGCAGGTGAAGTTAGCGGGCCGGAGGAGGTAAGTGGGCAGGTCAAGTTAGCGCACCGGTAGAGGATAGCAGGCAGGTGAAGTTAGTGCGCGGGTGGAGGCTAGCTAGCAGGCTAAGTTAGTGCGCCAGTGGAGGATAGCGGGAAGGCTAAGTTAGCACGCCGGTGGAGGATAGCGGGCAGGTGAAGATAGCGCGCCGGCAGAGGCTAGAGGGCAAGGCAGGTTAGCGCGCCAAGGGAGGATGTAAGTGGGCAGATGAATTTGAAAGTGAATTTGTGAAGCTGGCCTGTTGGCAGAGGCAAGAGGACAGGCCAAGTTATCACTCTGGAAGTGGTTAGCGGGCAATTAATTTAGCGCGCCGGTGGAGGATAGCGGGCAGGTGAAGTTACCGCGCCGGTGCAGGCTAGCGGGCAGGGTAAGTTAGCGCGCCGGAGGAGGTAAGTGGGCAGGTCATGTTAGCGCGCCTGTAGAGGATAGCGGGCAGGTGAAGTTAGCGCGCCGGTGGAGGCTAGCGGGCAGGCTAAGTTAGTGCGCCAGTGGAGGCTAGCGGGAAGGCTAAGTTAGTGCGCCGGTGGAGGTTAGCGGGCAGGTCAAGTTGGCGCGCCGGAGGTGGTTAGCGGGCAGGCTTAGCGCGCCGGAGGAGGTAAGTGGGCAGGTCAAGTTAGCGCGCCGGTAGAGGATAGCGGGCGGGTAAAGTTAGCGCGCGGGTGGCG